TTACGGTGTTGTTCTTGAGTAATAACGAAAAACATGTTTCCTGGTCTCCTCGAGACGCACATGAGCTGTCTGCTCACGATTCAAATGAAGTCCTCATCAAGACCTAATACAATCAAAGTTTCTCCCGGCAAAGGCCTCGCAATGCCTCGTTTGCTGCAGGCTGGGGCTTAAGACAATGGCACTCTTGTTGAATGGCATGCGCGCACAAAGGCTCCATTCTCAGAACTTAGCCAAAGTTGCTGTTCTGTAATGAACTAGATATCTGCTCTCGGGAAGTCTAAAACAGTCTGATCCATTAGCAGACACTGCGTACGGTTACCCAACACCAGCCATTAGCTCGCAAAAAACGAGGATAAAAGGAAACGGTAAACAGTTAAACTTGCAGCAACAAACAACAAAACCTTTGTTTTGTTTGTCTATACTGCTAACATTCATGCATAAGATCTAAAATGCCGTTCAAACTCTAACATCGCAAGCTAAACGGCGTGGAGGGATTGCGTTATCTCCTTCAAAATTTCGCAATTGGCTTTTCTCCAAAAATGAAAATTCTGTCATCATTTACTCTGTCATCTACCAAACCTGCATGAGTTTCTTTCTTCTGAAGATATTTTGAAGAATGTTGGTAACCACAGTTGACGATAGCCATTGACTTAGCCCAAGTTCTTAGCCATAGTATGGAAAAGATACTATGGTAGTCAGTGGCTACCGTCAACTGTTTGGTTACCCACATTCAATATATCTTCTTTTATGGTCAACAGAAGAATGAAACTCATACAGGTTTAGAACAACTTGAGGATTACGACATTTTCAGCAAATTTTCATTTTTGGGTGAACTATTCCCTTAACCTCTTCGACAGCAGACTTCTTGCGACAAGGCATTCACGTAAATGCTCAAACTGCAAGCCATGAGTTCTCAAAAAACGTGGACAAAAGGAAACAGTAAACAGTAAAACTTGCAGCAACAAACAACAAAACCTGATAAACTGTTCAATGCCGCTTTCCGCTGTTTGTCTTTACTGCTAACATTCATGCATAAGGACTAATTCTATGAAAGAAAGAAAGAAAGAAAATCTTTTTAGAAGCACAACAGTAGTAGAAAACATAAATTTGTTATATACAATTTTAATATTTACCTTTTTTTTTACTATTACTACTAAAATCTTTCTTGTCATTCCAAAGTTTGACATATCCTCCATCACTTGTGTGTTCATTTAATAAATATTTGAGCTAACTTAACAACATAAACTACAATTAACATATTTTAAAACCAAAGTATGTGCAAAAAGTGTGTATTCCATACGGGCCTACTTAACACATTCTTGCACAGCAAAGTCATCTGTAGCAACTCCAACACAAGAAGCATTAAATAAATGTGTGAATAAAGGAGGATAAAAATAAAAATAGCCGAGCTCCCATCACGGGGCCCATTTCTCTCTCAGTGGCCATGTGCTGGGACGACTGAGGAGTTAATACAAAACTAATTAGCAAAAACTGACTGGTGCCAACCCCCCTCATCCCTTTTCCTGCCTCACTACGCAGGGGGACAGCGGTAAGCCCAGAGCACAGGTGTACCGCTCACGCCGGCACTAGATTACTGCCCACTGCCTCTGCACTCAAAACCCTTCACCGTGCTCCCCAGGCCGCAGTTATGTCAGAGAGGAAATGGAGTGTGATGAGCAGCATTTTAAACGAATTGTGCATGTTTTGCATGTCGGAAAAGAAAGAAACACAATCGTTTTTGAACCACAACAATGAAAGCGATGCATTAATGCACGGTTGAGACCCTATGTTGGGCGCCAACTAACGTGGTCCAAATCTGCGAGGAAAGATCGGCACTGACAATGCACATTAAACGGATTACACGAATTTGCCTCGCAATCAGATTTCGGAGAAATTCACCCACTAAAGGCAAGTGGCTGCGCAACAAAACATCTTACAGTGTTTCCCCCGTCCCAGAACCATCTGCTTCGTTTAATCCAATCACATTGCAGCAGGAGAAAATGGTTCAAAAGGAGGTCAAATGCAATGATATTAAAACTGACTGTGCTGTATCCCATCATTGGATCCGAGCTGGTTCTTCAACACTGGGTCCGTGCCGGAGTGGCGTTTGCACAATCCGGGCAGAAAAGATAACTTGCTGCATGATGTATTTTTATGAATGGCCGACAACCTCATTTTTAATGAATGGTACTGTGTGAAAGAGCACAGTGGCATGGTCATTGTTGCAGTAACAGGGCTGGTCGGTGGGATTTAGCGAGCAGAAAGCAGGGGAGGATGGGTGCGAGGGGGTGGGGAGGTCCCAGCCCACAATGTGTACTGCAGTAACCACAACAAAGGCTGTGGTTTATCCCACAATCGCCTTAAATAGATCCAAATTATTGTTGTTCCTCAGCCTGTGGAAAGGAAGAGGAATATAAAACGGCTGTAACACAAGATGTGCCAAAAGTCAGCCTGAAGATATCAGCAGATTCAGTTACTGGCGCAAAAAAAAAAGTTCTACGAATCGACGGCTTGCTGTATCCTTTGACTGGCTTTTGCAAAAACTTTCAGCCAGCTTCCTAGAACTTAATACGAATTTACAAAAACTGATGACAGTGCACCTTGAGCATGCGTCATCAAAGCTAACTAGTTTTGAAAGACACACTGTACAGTAAATCTGTTTAAGAGCTCACATGGAAGTGGGTCAGACGTCTTTACAAACATTACACACGCAAACGGTTTGTTCAACGCGGCTCCGGGTCAATTAAGGTAAGTCCAGTATAAATATCTATCAGCCTGGCTGGAAATGTACACACGGGCCCGGTTGAGCGTTTGTTATCTATCTGCACCAGCGGTATCCTTCCATTGTGTAGTGAGTCTGAAAACACTGGAATGAGACACAACTACAGTTCACAGCAAGTGAAATTGCATTTAGTTGACATATATAATGACAGGAACTCTAATTGAGTTTTTCATCAAAATAAGTACTTATTAATGCATCTTTTTAATTCTTAATGACAACACAATATCCTTTTTCCCCCAAAAGTAATAATTTAGATTTTAACCTGAATTTGAATGGGAACTGAATCTTAATCTTACATCAAGATGATTTTAAAAATGAAAGAAATGATTTTAAAATTTAAATAAAATAAATTACTAAATATATATTTATTTACAAATATTTTAAAGGTAACTTATATGATAAAATACCCCAAAATAAATTAAATAAATAAAAAAATATTGCAAGGGAAGGATTGTGAGCTCATGACTAAATAAATAAATAAATAACATTCAGTCTTAAATGCAATGTAACTACGATTTTGCAAACAAAACAAAGAAACAAGCTGCCTGATTTTCATGTACTTAAAAGGAAACAGTCACTGGTGTAATGTTAGTCTGGGTCTCCACGGCTATTAACCCCTTTCGGCTGGTTTAAACGGCACACCACTCTGTGGCCCAAACAAAACCACCTGTTTTAACAGGAGGTCAAGGGGGCAACCCAAAACCAAAGCCTGCCCTCCGCGTGACTGGCTGCTAATGGGAGTGGATGTTTATCTAGGAGGTCAAATGCCTTGAAGATGGGTCACGACCCTAACATCTTAAGCCGTGACCTCTCCCACGTGTGGAGTGCTCCTGTCGTAAATTAGCCACGGTTACACGTCCTCAGGCCTCAGTGAACACCACATTTGTGTCTTCTTCTAGTTCTCGTGTTACTTTCTGTCAAGAGATGTATGGCATTGGACTAAAATTATGAACTGTGTCACTACTGAGATTAGAAAAATGGGTTTTTAAAATACATGTTCTAAGAAATCAATTAAAAAAATATGGGAAAATATTAAAGTGGGTGTGTTTGCTGGCCTGCACCCCTTTGCCCTGGAAAGACTGTGGGATAAATTTAATTACTGAATTTAGCTTCTCTCAGAAGCCCCACTTTCGCCATCTGTGTATGAGGTCAGGCTCTCTTCAGATGGCTTTTAATCAAGGGGTCTCCAGCAATGCTCCACTGCTTTAAATAAGACAGAGAAGGAAACCTGATCGGCCCGTATGCAGGTCAGAGACGAGGAGAGAGAGACTCCCGTGTCTTTCTTCCTCTTGTTCTCTCGCTGACGTCTCTTATTCACCATCGAATCAAAAAGAAATGGTAACTTCGCCGATTAAGATGTTAGTAGGACGCTCCCCACTTAATAGGCTTTCAGAACATCAAAACTAAAAATTTCGGTGGGCCGCGGGGGAAACGCGTTTCAGTGACGGTGTCGTACTTATCCTCACAAAAAGCTCAAAGGCTCCGGGCCTTTGTGTTCCCACCAAGTCAAAGTAATTCACACGCTCCCGTTTTGCAACCTGCCATCTGCCAGATACCCCGTTTTTCCGCCGTGGCGCTAAAGCTCACGTTTTATGGCTTTATCTCCGCCGTCTTCGGGTTACATGGCGTTTTCACTCTTTTATCGGTCCCTCATCAAAGCGCGAGTCCGTACGGAATGCAGGGAACGGTGGATACGCATGCTGCCAACTCGCTCAGTGCCACAATTTGCGTGCGAGAGGAAATGAATGTAATTAAGGTGCTCAGTTTGCCTGGGGAAACAAAGTGCGCTTCTTGACTTCCAAGTGAAAGCCTGTGTTTGTGCCGCTGTCAGTGCAAGATGGATCCCCTACCGCCTTCTGCCAATTAACAGTCGCTCCGTCAGATATTTGTGCCGGACTTTTCCATGTTAGCTTCTTGCAGTTAGCAATCAGCAGGAATAACTTCAAATAAATCACATTATATGTTTGATTTAAACAGAAAATTCACTCTCATTTACGTATTCATTTTATTTTGCCATATGTGGCATAAAGGAAACTTTATGATTCGATTTGAGTTGAATCCGACGCACTTATCCTATACTTCCCAGATTCCTTATTGACTGCTGATGGATTGTAAACAGTAAAATCCTAAAAGAATTGAAGTGCAATCCATTATGATCATTTGCATTTCACATTTTGCATACGTTCAACAGATTTAGTGAATTCAAAACGGGACTTACCTGCATGCACAAAGTAGGCCAAGTACAGGTCGAGCTCCTTTACGGAAACTCCTATCTGATGCGGCTGCACGCACAGCCCTGGATTCGAGCACTGCGGAGACTTAACCAGCCTTTCGCCATCAGTACTTTCAAGCGGAATACCTTTGAATAAAATCACCATGACCAGGTCCAAGCGCCACACTTTGTCCGCCTGACGCAGGCAGTCGATTCTCCTTATCTTGCCCTTCTGGTCGGGGTTGGAGAGCACACAGCAAGGGGGCTTCTTCCCGGTGACAGTGAGCACAAAATCCTCGCGGAACTCAGGCCGGATGTCCTTGCGGAGTTTGGCCAGCAGCCGCGATGCCCACTTCTGCTTGACCTCCGGCTTCTCACTGAGCAGCTCGTCCTTCACGGCTCGCTCCTCTTCCTTAGACATGCGCTTCTCGTGCTTCTTGAAGTATTTTCTCTTGCGGGCCTGCAAGTTGAACCAAGTGTAGGAAAACGCTTTCACATGGGGCAGCAGTGCTTCAATGAAAGGATGGAATTCATCCTGTGAAGAAGGACAAGGGAGCGGAAATTAGACTGTATGGCTAGAGTTAAAGTTTTAGAAACATCCTTAAAAATATTTTTAAAAAATACAAAGTCACTATTTTTTTTCCTAAAAAAAAACAACTGTCATTTTTCAAAAAATCCAAGCTAAAGTAAAAAAATAACAGCAGATTTTTCACAGCAGACACCATGAAAGCGAAACATGTATGTCTACATAAAATCCCATTTGATTATTTTGAAAAACGGCCCTCAACTGACTGTGTCTGTGAACCGAGCAGGGCAGTGTGTGTGTGTGTGTGAAGCTCGTCTAGGACATATCTTGGCTCTCTGGCAAGAATGCTGGTCTGTAGGGGTCTGCCAGGGCCGAGAAAAAGCAACAACCGACTAGGAAAATTGGAGTGGCTATTTTTATCTGTTCTCCATAAAAATGCACACACGATTCCAAAAAAATGGAGCTACTTCATTCGCTATCAGTGAGGAGTGTGTTGTTTTCACACAGGAGTGTGTGCGGGGCAGATTGTGCCGGGTTTTGGGATCCCTTCACCTGCCGCTGGTGCACAACCTGGCAGAAAATCAATTTTTAAAATATAATGACAAAAAGATCAGCAAAATATCGGACGTGGCATTAAAACATCTTTTTGTACATGGCAAAACTCCTTCTTTCAGTGGATATATTCATGCAGGGATTTAAAAAAAATCTACAATAGGAAATATATTTTAATATTTACAGAATATTCTTGTATATAACGTGAAATGCAGTTATTTAGGAAAGCTGCAAAATGCAGTAACTGTTAATAAAGGATTTTTTTATTATACAAACTAGAAGCATTTTTAATACTGTACATGTGCTTGGTTATTAAAATAGTAAATATCCAATGCATGCTTTTCTGTATTTGTAGGCCTGCATGTCCATTTCTTTAATGCCTTAAAAAAACAATACACGCTAATAACTGGGCAAATAAATAACGTGCGGTTTCTAATATGAAATAATTTGGGATTTTACACAGAAAATAACTCAGGGTTTTTATTACATAGAGAGAATAATGGCAGACTGCCAATCACTAGAATAACATTTCCACAAACAGCAATAGCCCTGCATCGTGTCCCAAAACCGAGCATGCGAGAGCATGAGAGGGCTGCCAGCAAGCAAGCAAAGTGCACTATGTGCTGAGTGCAGATTTCATTTGAATAAGCACAGATATGAATATAACGCGCTGGGCCTCGGACTAGTGCCTTTAGAAATTTAACAATTAATTCGCCGTAATTTAGGAACGTTAATTAAATGAATTTCTTAGGCCAATTTCAAGCACTGCTGATAATGTTTGTTTCGTAATTAAAAATTATCACAATATGCCATTGAGCAAAAATAAATAAATATTTATTACAAAAAAACAAACAAAAATATTTTAATAATTATGGAGGTTTATTAAGCTGCAGATTGAAATAAATGTAGTGTTTGTGTAAGATTACTACATGTCATATTAATTATAGCTGTAGATTCAACAGCAGACTTCATATGGATACATATTGTCATATCTCTTTTGTTACACCACAAGAAATTGAGGATTTGCATAATCATATATCATTATTATAGAGTATGGCACAACGTGTGTGTGTGTGTCTCCTGTGAGAACGTATATGTTTAATCATATTGTTTCCTTCCTGTCTTGTTCAAGAATCAAACTCCCTTGCCTCCGAGGCATAAAAACTGTATTGTTTCATCCTGCATTTAAACCAGTGAATGAATTCCCTTATCTTCCTTCACTGACTCTACAAGTAACTTAATCCAAAATCTGTGAAATACTGTTCCTCAATTACTGATATCATCTATTGTTGTGTTTTTATACATGTATATTATATGCTTTTTATTATTATGCTTTTTATTTTTTTAAAGGATCTGTTGCAGACTTGTCTACGTTCAGACTTCTTGTAAAATTGCTTGGGAAAAAAATCAATATGGAAAATCTCCAGACGAGAATCGAGCTCTCTACTGTAAAAAATGATGTTAACTTTTTGCAGTTCTCTAGCGATGTTTTTAAATAAAACAACCGACTGCTAGAATTATTTTGTGGATGATACACAGCAGAGCGTAATTTAACATGCAAATTATAATTATGAGAGCGTCCAGAAAGCTTGTTTTCTTCTTTTGTTTTGATTCTAGCAATTCATGAAAACCGAATTCTACATGCTCGTAGCGGCAGAACAAACAGCTCTTCACTTTTTGGAGCGTGCCTGAGTGTCAATATAGGTTCTGGTTAGCATGTCAGGTTTTTCCAGGCTCCTAAAGTGTTTCAAGCTGAACCTCGCTGTCCTATAGGAAGGCCTCAGCAGGGAACAATAGTGCCTCGTGTTAACATTTCCACAAACAGCAATAGCCCTGCATCGTGTCCCAAAACCGAGCATGCGAGAGCATGAGAGGGCTGCCAGCAAGCAAGCAAAGTGCACTATGTGCTGAGTGCAGATTTCATTTGAATAAGCACAGATATGAATATAACGCGCTGGGCCTCGGACTAGTGCCTTTAGAAATTTAACAATTAATTCGCCGTAATTTAGGAACGTTAATTAAATGAATTTCTTAGGCCAATTTCAAGCACTGCTGATAATGTTTGTTTCGTAATTAAAAATTATCACAATATGCCATTGAGCAAAAATAAATAAATATTTATTACAAAAAAACAAACAAAAATATTTTAATAATTATGGAGGTTTATTAAGCTGCAGATTGAAATAAATGTAGTGTTTGTGTAAGATTACTACATGTCATATTAATTATAGCTGTAGATTCAACAGCAGACTTCATATGGATACATATTGTCATATCTCTTTTGTTACACCACAAGAAATTGAGGATTTGCATAATCATATATCATTATTATAGAGTATGGCACAACGTGTGTGTGTGTGTCTCCTGTGAGAACGTATATGTTTAATCATATTGTTTCCTTCCTGTCTTGTTCAAGAATCAAACTCCCTTGCCTCCGAGGCATAAAAACTGTATTGTTTCATCCTGCATTTAAACCAGTGAATGAATTCCCTTATCTTCCTTCACTGACTCTACAAGTAACTTAATCCAAAATCTGTGAAATACTGTTCCTCAATTACTGATATCATCTATTGTTGTGTTTTTATACATGTATATTATATGCTTTTTATTATTATGCTTTTTATTTTTTTAAAGGATCTGTTGCAGACTTGTCTACGTTCAGACTTCTTGTAAAATTGCTTGGGAAAAAAATCAATATGGAAAATCTCCAGACGAGAATCGAGCTCTCTACTGTAAAAAATGATGTTAACTTTTTGCAGTTCTCTAGCGATGTTTTTAAATAAAACAACCGACTGCTAGAATTATTTTGTGGATGATACACAGCAGAGCGTAATTTAACATGCAAATTATAATTATGAGAGCGTCCAGAAAGCTTGTTTTCTTCTTTTGTTTTGATTCTAGCAATTCATGAAAACCGAATTCTACATGCTCGTAGCGGCAGAACAAACAGCTCTTCACTTTTTGGAGCGTGCCTGAGTGTCAATATAGGTTCTGGTTAGCATGTCAGGTTTTTCCAGGCTCCTAAAGTGTTTCAAGCTGAACCTCGCTGTCCTATAGGAAGGCCTCAGCAGGGAACAATAGTGCCTCGTGTCCAAAAGAGACAAGAGAGTTTTAACACATGCAAAACTATTACGAAAAACCAACAATGTGAATACACAGTTCACCTAATATGACGTTAATACAACGAAAGGCCAATGTATATTTATGCATAAACTAAAATACGTAAAAGTGTTGAAAATGTGTTATTTGGATTTTACTATAAAATGAAAGCAGTATACAGATGTGATTTTTGCCATTCAGAAGACTACATGAGTCCTTAAAAATGACACACACACACACACACACAGAGAGAGAGAGAGAAAATAGACCTCATACTGCCTTAACACCGCAACAGAGAGGAAATCAATTGCCCGTCTCAATTATCATCAATGCAACTAAGATTTTTAGACATTTAATAATATTACTGTCAAATTATATTCAAAAGAAAGGAAACAGTGCTTTCATTTTTTTTGTAAGATTGTAAGCTGTTTATCATAGTGTATTATTGCTCAAAAATCTGAGTATCATTTATTTTTAATAAGTACTGTTTTTAGCAACAAATATTGGTACTCAAGTAAATGAAATATATGAGCTATATCTAAGTTCTTATGTGAGGTTTCAAGTTAGTGATATTGTATTACATTTACTGTGACTGATAAATTATGAAAAGCTTCCCCCACAGTTTTGCATGGATTTAATAGAAATAAATAGTTATAAAAGAACTTCTGCGAACATATCCAAGTCTTACATTATCAATTCGATATAAAGACGACTTCAAAGTTTGAGAACTTTCTCAGCTTGTCTTTCTCCACACATTACACATAATTTGTCTTTTTTTCGCATGAATCCTTTCCAGTATCTCCAAACAGACTGTAACTAACACGGTCAAAAGAACGTCCCTATATGCGACACAATACTGAGGCCTTCTCCTTTGTTTTGTGCATTCAATAAAATGCACTTAACCAAACAGTTTAAAATCACGTCAAGACTACAGTATAACGCTACAGCTTTTCCAGAACTGTCACCTCACTTCACCTGCCACCATGATTCACACAATTAATGTTTTTTTAAACCTCTTTTAACCCTTTCAATTGCTGGCCAACTTTAGTTTTATTCTGTGCTAATTACTAAAGTACGATGAGCAACAAACAAACAGCCCTGTGCATATATATATAAAACAGCACATTATAAAGTAAGTTATCAAGCATGACAGCACCAAATGTCTTAAAAAAACTTATACTCAACTTATCAATATTTAGAACTGCTGCTAAATATCAGAAATATAGAGACAGTGAAGCTTGCAAGAGACTAAATCTTTAGGTCTCATAAGCAGCAGAAAAGCTTTTTTTTTGCCAGCAGCTGGTTCAAACTAATGTTAACACAGAAAACGGCATAGTTGTATTGATACTTAATAACAA